CCTAATTTGCTCTTCTTTATTAAAAGAAGTAGATTTAGAAGACGCCTCCGGAATCGTCATGCGCTCTGGCTCCGGTTCAGGCTCAGGCGCATTCTGCTTGCGTTCCGATTTGCTGGTTTTTGTCTCGTCCACTGGTGCTGATGCCACTTTTTTGGCTTTGCGCCCCTTCTTCGCTGGGACAGGCGCCTCAACAGGCTGCTCCTCCTGTACCTTTTTTGCCGGCCTGCCTCTCTTGGCAGGCTGTACTGGCGCAATGGGTTGCTCCTCTTCGAACTCGTCGACCTCCTCAGTGTCGCTCGTGTTGCCGTGCTTGCGCTCAGTTAGCGCCTTACGCCTGCTCTTAGCAGGTGCCTTCTTTGCGACTGCCGCGTTGATCTTCTTGACACCCAGCACACTGCTTCCGCTCACGCGACGCGTCGCAGGCCTTCCTTTGGCGGCAGCTTTGGTCGAAGACACGGCCGTCTTCTTGGATTGCGTTGTGATGCCGCGGGCTTTGCGATTCGGCGCCTTGTTTTCGCTATTGGATTCGGGGGTGGGAAGCGCATTGAGTTCGTCGTGTGTCATTTCGTCTTCAGAGGCCGAGTCGACAGTGAAGGACAGGCTGGTGAGCGCATTGCGGGCTGCCATTTGCTGCGAATTTCTATCGGAGGGGCGCGACCTGTGACGCGGGTCTGGCAAGGGTAGCGCGTTGCAGTGCTTTTGGGGTTGTCAGTTGTGCGGCGGCGGCAAAGGATGCAAGGAACGGTGGAAGGGTGGGATCGGATGTAAACAAACGCGGTTACCGTAGACGTTTAGCGCTTTCCCAACTTGCCGCCATGGATCTTCAGTTCAGGAGCGCCCGTGCCTTTGCCCGCGCGAACGCAACCACGTGCCGGCACAGGCACAGGCTACCGCTACCAAGCACATAGGCAGACCAGAGGGGCTTCCTACAGTTCACCATGACTCGACCTCGTCTAAACAGCCTTATAGCCTAAGAGGTGACCAACCCCTTGGAAACCTCGACTGCATTGCAGGCCTTTGGTATCCTCTTCTTCGACAAACGAGGGCTGTCTTGGATGAACGAATGCACTCAAACCTCAATGGATGTACTGGGCCATACCATACCGTACTGTTCAGAACCTGGAGAGTCAGCATCACAGTACAGAAGAAGGCTACCATCATACAAGTCATGTCAGGCGCTTTCACGCTGCTTGTACCGGGTTCCTCGCCCGGCGAACATTCGACTTCCCAAACTCCAACCTACCGCTACATTGAAGTCTGGCCATGGCTGTCCCCTACAAGGCTCACGGTAGGTGCACCAGCACGAGGGGAGGGGGGGGGGGGGCATCAGTTCAAGTTGCCTTGTTGTATAGCTAGAACGTGTCTCTGAAGATGAACTCAAGCCCGCCGGCATCTGTGGACAACGGCTCTGGCGTTGATGGTATATTGGCGGTGGATCGTTCGAGGCATCACTCAGCCTTGATTGCGCAAAATGAGCGCATATCTGGAGGGTGCCAGCTTCCACGAGGGCCATGGACGTGTATACAAGCATATACAATTTCGTATCAGATTCATGGACGCGCCACTTGCAATACCGGTAGGAGCAACGGTGGTGTTGTTGAAGCGCATGTTGAAGGCATTTCATTGTAGTTTGACTCATCTCACGCAACTAGGTACACATAGAGACGTGATCGATCGGACGAAGGCGGGCGCTTGCTTGCCCAGGCAACCGGATGTCGCAAAAGAATTGCTTCCTGCGCAGGTGTACTATGTACATAGGCAGATGTACCTAACTTGGAGAGATCAGCCGTGTGCCACGACGCCGAGTAGTCCGTGGGCGCAGGTTGAGAACACAACACGGACACACGACGTATTGGCCATGGGTCTCTTTTGTCTCTTTTTGGCGTCGACGTATCACAGTGTCCAGAGTCCAACTGTCTAAGCCCGTCCAGCGGGGCGCCTTGCTGAGGCTTATGGATTACTTTCCCCTTGCTACTAGTTGCTAGCAGGCATCTTTCCGCCGCCGTTTCCCTGACGACGCCCGAAAGTCAACGTGAGCTGGGGAACCTGCACCATCACCATCTCGTCCGGAGCATGGCAAATGCATGCATTTTGGAAGACCCCCAAATTTGCATACTGCTGTACCTACATTGACCATTTTTCATCTCCACTCCTAGTCCAGTCCTTCACTTTGCGTGGTACAGCAGCGAGACTGTTGCGCACTGCACCAGAAACCAATTGGTGTCCACAACCAACAAACACACACACAAACAGCGACTGTCGTCGCAATGGACCGACCCACCACGCCGGGAGGGTCTCCCTACGGGCGTCCGCCTGCATACGACGACGAGGATGGTTTCTCGCCGCAGATGCAAGGAGGTTCAACCATGCGCTTGTTGACAAACGTGGAGGAAAGCCAGAGCTACATGCCGTGAGTGTCATTCCCTATTTGCTCTGGCCGCGCCGACTTGACTGCATTCCCTCCATACTCATCCCTTTTCTTACTCCAGAAGACACTCGTTCGAGTCGGCTTCCATCATGTCTGGCGTGAACAGCACCAGGGCTGCGCTGGGCGAGCGCATGACGCCGTCTGAGATTGGCAGGCAAAAGACGGCCGAGGCAGGCATTGTCGACTTCCTGCGTGAAGCTGGCGATGCGCTGAGCTCGAATGACCATGCGCCTGCGGCTGGTGCGGGCCTTTCGACGCAGATGCCCAGGCGCAAGACGCTCAAGTCACGGTTGGTGCAGCACATGCATCCCAAGTTGCTCTCGTTGAACTTCAATCGCAACCGCTATGAGAACCTGACTGACCAATGTATTTGCCCCCAACAGACCACTTTCGCCAGTCTCACGTACCTATCACCCCCACGGCCCCCTCCGTGCCCGGCCTCTCGCGGACGCCATCAGTGCTGGGACACGGCGCCCAATATGCCGCC